AATTAAAAAAAAGAAGGCCATTGCTGGTGTCTCGGCTGGCCGGTCGGTCGCGCATTCTCTCCTGACTATGAAGAGGACGGCACGACAAAGAGAAGCCCGGCACAAAGTGCGAGAGGATTGCGAGGAGGAAAAGGGCGGAGTCGGAGATGAGGAGGAGGATAGTTGGATAGGACGCGAGTTGGCTTAAATTTAATTCACTTCTCCAGCAACCCTTTTCTATTCTCTCTTTGTCACGGAAATAGATAGATAGAGAGAGAGAGAGAGAGAGAGAGAGAGAGAGAGAGAGAGAGGGAGAGAGAGGGAGGAAGGGAGGGAGCAATTGCTATGACGGGAGAGGCCGAGGGAGTAGAGAAGGTTGACAGACAGGGGACGGGGAACGATGTTAGTGGAAGACCAACTCGCGAATGCAATTTCCTCGGGGCACGAGCTGGATGTTCCCGCGGCCCGCAACTGTCCGTCCGTTCGTCGGTCTGTCCGATACCGAGTCCTTTTTCCGGAGACTAACTCGTCCGGAAGGTCCTTTGAATGTGGCGATAATGCGAGCATCCTCATTTCGCCAGGGCGGTTTATAGTGTAAATGCGCTAATAACGTGCGCGCGTACGCGGACGCCATTGACACTGTCCGAACATGATTCCGGCTTCCTTGGACGGCGAGAGATCGGCTTAACCGGATTGTCGGAGTCCTGCTAAACGATTTCTAGCCTGGAGGAGAAGCGTGCCGACACGTCGAGAAACGTCGACGTACTCTTGCATCCCCTTCTCTCTCTCTCTCTCTCTCTCTCTCTCTCTCTCTCTCGACACGAGCAGAAATTAGATGGTCGAGATATTACGATAATTGGATACGGATTTTACCACGATAACGACGTGCTAATTGCGGAGAGTTACATCCGTTACGCCGGGAACGACTTCGGTGGGAGGAGTGGGGGAAGGTTGTTTGAATGATTAAAAATTATAATTTGATAGTTTGATCGTTAATGACACGACATGACGCACACTCGTATGCAATCCGCTTGCACCGACGTATCCTCCGAACGTCGTCCAGAGACTGAGAAAATTAACGAACGGGCATATCGCGCGTATTTCGCACGTGAACTTTTTCCAACTCGCCGGATTACTCCCCCGCGTGATTGCGGATCATTAGGATCAATGTATACGCGAACGCGATGACTTGCCGCGCGTAGGTGAGGATTAATATTAATTATCACTTGCTCTCGTGTTCTCGCGAGAAACGTAGGGCAAATCAATGCATACTCAACGGCGCGATCGCGTGACGCGCTGCGATGATTGTAGAAAATTATCTCTATTTCGTGCAACACAATCGCGCACGACGCGCTCGAATCGCGAATTTATTTATTAGATTTTAATCCGCGTTCGCACGGTCTGATGAATGGCGCCGGGTCGAGCAGCAGGCATGTTGTGCGCAATGAGAATTCCATTAGAAATGTGATTTAGTTTAGTAGGTTGTTTTTCAAAAACTGATTTACTTAAACAGGATAATGAACGAACACCTTACTCAAAATATTTTCCTTAATTTTCTACAACTTTTTTCCATCTTCCTGGCAAGAGATGGATTCCATGACAATAAAAAGATTCTTCTTTGGAGTCAATTCAATTTTTAATAAATTTTCGCACTTGTGCGAAGTTATGAAAGTGTGTATCCTGTAGAGCAGGATTTCCCAATCTTATTTGCATTTCGCATCCCTAAAAATTTATTAATGAACCTCCGCACTCCCTAGAAAAGAATTATTCATGTTTCATAGTAAAAAGTAGTTGTTAGGGTTTTAAAGTATGAAGTTAATAATAATGAAGTTTATAATAATTTATTATTACATAGTATTGTTTTATAGAAATTAACTATTTTAATATTATAAAATTATTATCCATGGTATTAAGCTTCGCATGGTGATACGTAATGAATATATACGTACAGATATGTAAAAAATATAAAATTTTAATAACATTTTTTGAATTTAATGGTAAAAATGCCAGATTATTCCAGAATTCATGTCAATCATTATCAATCCTTATTGTATACCTGGAGTCCAGTGGACCCCAACAAACTGTTAAACATCAAAAATATTTTTTTATATAAATAATAATCATGAATATTTGAAATTTCTTGGAGTTCGATTTTTTCAAAAAATTCCCTGCTTTATATGTCAAAATAATGTTGGTATTAAAATTATTCAAGAAAAGCTGTTGCTTCTTATTTTAGAAGGTTTCAAAAACATCCTCAATTTTTTTCAAATCAAAGTATCTGATAGAATAAGCGTGGTGGCACAGTTTTAATCGTTGGGGTCCCCTTGTGTATCATATTAAATTATTCGGAGATGTGTACAGTAAAGGTTAATTACAATCACTTTTCCTCGCACCTCCAAGAATGTTTCTTCGCACCCCCAAGGGGTGCGAGCATCCCCGATTGGGAACTCCTGCTTTAGAGCATGTTGCATCGACCGGAACAAGTGATAATCAGATAGAACAATATCTGAAGAACACGCGATGTGCGGTACGACTTGCCGTTTCAGCTCTAGTAGGATTTGCTTCACTGGTAATATTATATAATGTGAGGTCTAGCATTGTCGTGAAAAGGATCGCTTTGCGTCATTTACTCGCAATTGGTGATCGTTTTTGGTCCAATGCGCGCTTCAATTTGTATAATTGTTGTCGGTAACGATCAGCAGTGACAATTTCATTTGGATTTCGGATTTAAGTGCATAGTACACAATACCTTCTTAATTTCACTAAATATACAGCAATATCTTTGAACCGTGAATATTGCGCCTCGGAGTGGATGTTGCTGATTGACCTGGATCAATCCATGATTTCTTTCGTTTGGGATTATCGAAATAGATCCATTTTCCATCCTTAGTGACAATTCGATAGAAGACTCTTCATTTTTTGTCTGGCGATCGACGAAATGCAAATGTTCAATCAGTTCGCAATGGCATTTTCCGATAATTGATGAGCAACCCATTTTCCTTCTTTGTGAATCTTTCCCACATCATGTAAACATTACAACTGCTGTACGATCAACATTTAATGCTCTGGCAAGTTCTCAAGTGGATTATGCTGGATTTTCGTCCAATAATCTACATTTTCAAGCTTTCTCGTTTGTTCCGAACGATCTTTGTCGTTAACATTGAGTCACCACTTTTGAATATTCACATATCTTGATGGAGCAATATCACGTAAGTTTCTATCAGAATTCTTCCGCTTCCGTTTCCTTCTAATTAAAAAACAAGAGCAGCGCATATCGAAAATGCTCTTTAAGAAGCTCCATTTTTAAGATAATATTAACACGAATTTTATCGTACCTATTGTTAGTAAATGACTAAATATCGTGGATTAATATTAAAGCATTAAGAAACAATAGCTGTGATTGAAATGTTTCCGACAAAACGAACATTGGTGCCATTTCTTGCAAACCCCTCAAAACTAAATCACACCACTATGAGTGTCTCGGACTCGCGAGAGTCGTGGCGGATTAATTTGATAGTGCCGTATATGCGCCGCGTTAATGACGAATCTCTCGTGAAGAATCAGCGTAACAGCGGCGCCGCACAGTGGGGCCAGATGATATTTTTTGGTTCAAAATTCTCTAGAGCCCTGAATTTCCAACCGATCATGGACATCAATGGAGGAGGTTGATCCTGAATAAATTCCAAAGAGATCTGTCTAGCCGAAATTTTGAAAAAATTATCAGTTCAGGGTTCATGGGTTTAGGGTTTGTCTTAAAAGTTTATCGTTTAAAGTACAGTGTCTTGGGTTCGACCTCAATGGGTTCGAGCCTATGGGTACTAAATGCGAGACCTCAGACTTATAATCACCTTTTAGAAAACTCAGAATTTCGAAGCTCATCAGCTCAGCTAAAAGGTTCTCGGATTGATAAATTCCTAGGTTGATGGGCTTAAGATTCAAAATCCTTCGGTTTTGTGCTTAACAAGTCTATATTTGATATTTTTGTATTTTGGACATATAGTATAAGTTTTGGGTTAATGAGTTTCTGGTTCCAGATCGATAAATCTCGTGGTGTCTGTTGATTGGTTTCATAGTTTCAATCCGCTGAATACGCTATTAGATAGAAATAAGTGTCAAATAATGAGTATTTTACAAGTTTCTCGCGTTTAACGATAATTTTTCCTCTTTTGAGACTAGTAATTCGAGAAAAAAATTTTTTTTTTAATTTTGGCAAGACAGATCTCTTCGGAATTTATTCAGGATCAACCTCCTCCATTGGTGTCGATGATCGGTTGGAAATTCAGGTCTCTAGAGAATTTTGAACCAAAGAATGTCATCTGGCCCCACTGTGCGCCGGTAGCCGCGACGCGAGGGTGCTCCTGTGGGCAAAAAAAAATTTGTGCCGATCCATAACGGAGAAGCGGATCACGTTGCGTGGCAAAATGCAATTTCGGTCGTGTAAGAGGCGATTATTCCGCCGCGGCTGTAATCACCGTAAACCGACGCCCCGTAAATACCAGGCTGAGAGTCCTTTCTCTTTTTTCCCGCGCTTCCTCCGAGAATGCTGACTGGCCCGGGCGTGGTTCGTCAAACGTGACGATAATGCGAAGTGTGTGTTCTCGGTGACATCCGGCGTCACCCGGCGTTGATGTCAGTTGATGGCTACCGCAATACCGGCCCGAGATAGACGCGAGGTATCAATATTTTCAAACGTCCATCGCGTCGAAATCTCCGAACTCCGAACTCCGAACTGGCGAGTTTCCCTTGGAACGAATTTTCTCGAGCGCGCGCGCGCTCGAAACTTGCTCTCGAAGCTTCTCCGATGAAGATAAAAATTCATCGGTCGAAAATCCAAACTGCCGATTTCTCAGGGAGCGCGCGCGCGCGCGCAGATTATACGGAGCGAAAGTTGCTCAAAGCTAATTTCCGCGGTCATCGTCGGACACTTGAAAGTTCAACTTCAATTTCGCCGGTCGAAGTATCTGAAGCCTGTTGAGAATTTTTATCAGGAACTAATCAACTTCTCCCGACACCATTTGCAGCTGGAGATCAGCGAGGCGCGGCGAGAAGGGGGCGTCCCACCGTCGAACTCAGCCGGAACCTTGGCAGCAACAACCCGCCCGTTGCCTCTTGCGGTGCGCCCAAGGGAGTGATGCGGCGCTCACTGGTGACGTGATCGACCTCTCGGTCAGCTACACGGCGTGACCTCGTTCGCGAGTGGCTGGCCGTTCACTCACTTCCTTGCGAAAAGCCCAGGCGTCTCCGAGCGAGCGAAAAGCGCGTCACACCGAATTTGCGTTTCCAAACCGGCGGAGTCCCTCCGATATACACCAGCTTCCCTGTGGCTCCTGTTCGTTTCTACTTTTCGAGAATTTTATCTATCTCTGGGAACGGCAAGGGAAGATATCGCAAACGGGAACTCCATTGAGCTCGCTTACCCGTCTAGACAATCGAGGAAGAGAGAGAGAGAGAGAGAGAGAGAGAGAGGGGGAGGAAAAAGCTGTCGTCGTTGTCTGTCGAAATCGGGAAACGAAAAGAAGCGATCGGGAGGAGCGCTTTTTCGGAGGGATCGGAAAGACTGGAGACACCTCGCGGGAAAAGACATCGGGAAGCATCGACTTGCTCATGCCTGCAAGTGGGGAAAAACCGTGCGAGAAGACGCCGAGGGTATGAAGGCACCTTCGTAACGACTGATCGGGCACTCGGCAGGAAGAAGACGGTGGAATTGAGATGCGTTGGACGAGGGTCGTTTATCGAAGAGTACTTTTCTGACAAACGAAGAAAAGGGCACAACGATAGGAATCTGGAAGGTATGAAGAACGTGCGGAGGACAGGGCGTTGATGGCAGGAAGAATCGGGACGACGAGCGTTGCTACTTGAAGCGTTCTCGGAGTAAACTTTCCTCGTCAGGTCGACCCCCGCTAGGCTACCTCCATTCCGTCTCGAAACTTCTTACAAAGAAACCCAACGAACAGGGAAGAAACAAGCGGTCTAATAACGGGGCGCTCGGAGAGCGGCTGAGTACCTGCGAGCAACGGGATGGTCAGCCGAATGGGAGAACTATGAGAGTCGAGAAGCAGCAACAGGCCGGACGATGTTCGCGAAGCTGCCAGGGTTGCAGTGAAGAGTCCCATCGAGCGGGAGAATCGAGCGGAACAATTTGATCCGACGAGTGTAACCGGCGAGACAGATCATAGCAGAACGGCCGAGAGCGAACGATGACGAACCCCCGCGACTCACCTTGAGGCTGTCGCGCGCGCGCGCGCGACGCTCCACGAGGGGAACAGCGCAGGGCGAGGTCGCGTTGGATGTCCTCGCGACGAGGTTGCCCGCTAATCGGGAAGGTCGTTCGCGATCGCCGCAGAGACCGCTCGCGACGGTCGCGGGCATCCCCGCTGGCTGCGTGCGCGACGTTATCAGTGAGATCATCTCGTCGCCTCCCCCACTCGCGGCCACATGACTTGACGATCGCCGCTTCCTTCTCCCGCTGCTGCTCCTTCCCGTTGACGGCCACCGAAGGCGGCGGCGGCGGTGTGGCAACGGCAGCGTCACGACCACGTCGACGTGGACGATAGCTCGACGAGCAGTCAACGGCTGGCGACGTCACGCCAGCGGCTCGGTATTTAACGAGTGACACGCGTTCCTGCCGAATCAGTCGCTCGCCGGCAGCCGCGGGTCCGCAGGTGCTAAACGCGCGTGGATGCCTGCCTGTGTGTTGGAGAGAAAGAGAAGGAGAAGGAGATAGAGATATAGCTAGAAAGGTAGAGGGCGCGTGTTCCTTGTATGTGTTTGTGTGTGCGCGCGGTATTTTTCTGGATCGTCGACCTCGCTCGCTCTCGCGTCTCGCGTGTACAGAGGGAGAATCCGGCACGGAGGAAGAATCGGCCTACGGTAGTATCCGTAGAAGAGGAGTAATAGAGGGGCACGGGGCGGCACGAGGGTGAGTCCTGCTCTGGGGTGCCGTAAAGAGTCCTTCTCCTCTGCGATTCTCGGCAATCGTGGTGCGTCGTAACGACCGTGGTGTTTGTCGTGGTGGCGCGGTGTTACCGTTGTGTCACTGCTATCCTGGCAGGTGGAGGCGGTGGCGACGGTGGCGGTGGTGTTGGTGGATATATATAGTGGTGGATAGCGGTGGCCTGCGGGGGCGGCGAAACTGGAGCAGCAGCCGGTGACGGTCGTCGTCGTCGCTGCAGCGGAGGAGCTATCATGTGCACGCGGCGAATTCTCGGACTGGCGGTCGTGGCCCTGCTGACTCTCGGCGGTCGAGCGCGCGCGTACACCAACCAGTGGGCGGCGCACATCGAGGGGGGAGAGGAGGTGGCCAAGCAGGTCGCCGAGGACTATGGCTTTCGCTATTTGGGCAAGGTCAGTGCCGCGAGCCTGTTCCCCTGAGCGGGAGAACGAGTCTTGCTTTCCTCTTTTATTTCTCTCGCTTTAACGCGGCTTTCGGAACGCAGCGCGCGCTCACCTGCGCGTCGTGAGCTACTTTGAGCGTTTGAGACTTTTATCACGCCCGAGTCGAAGTGCTGCTGACCGTCGAGGATCAAAATGAGGACTCTTGTGATATAAACATGTTATACTATGCGTTGCTTCTTTAACCCTTCAAATGTGTGGCACATTTCTTCCACAAGTTTCTAGGAAATCTTTCACATTTGTTTCTTCGATTGTTGATTACAAATCTGAAGTTAGATTTTAGAATTTCAAAATGGAAAATCCGATATAGCGTCACATAGGGGAAATTAGTGTAAGTCTGAATGAATGTAAATCAGATACACGATATAAAGATTTTTCAAATCGTTTATTACGAATTACGAATTACATGTCAGATTTACAAAATTCGTTCAAGTAATTTGTTTATAAAAAAAAATCTAGCGTGCGAAAAATTCTGAAGAAAATATGTATTATTTTTTGACATGTGAAGAATATTTAGTAATATTTTCAGCTCCTAATCTTAAATATTTTCCAAGAAATTAAATTTTTTTTAAATCGCTTTTTTCAACTTATTTGTTTACAAATAATTAAAAATGATTAATGGATATTAAAAAACGATAGGGGATACTAAGTAAAGTAAATATTAATATAACAAAATATTAATAACAAAAAATCTAAGATCATACTTATCTTTATTAAACTGCAAACAGTGCATCGTAAAAGTAAAAGAAAAAGAAAAAAAGGTGTTAAGTATATTAATCATTGCACGAAGAGTTAATATAGAAGTATTTGTTTCCAGTCATTTTCTTAATGAGAAATTTATTTACAATAATTGTTTAATATTCATCTCAATAGTCACACATCTATCATCTTGATAGTCCATGTTAAGTTACCAAAGTTTCGTGTTCGAAAAATTTCGAAGTATTTAACCATTCTTATTTGATAATTTTTTATTTATTTGACAATTTTTTACACTTGACCATCTTAATAATAATTAGCTGAATTAAACAATAAGCTTTCCTTTTTCACCTTCTCGCGATTTATTAATGTTTGAGAAGTCTTGAATTTAATAATTTAATAATTTGAGAAAATGCGAAAAGGAGCCTCATTGCCGACTGCCGTTGCATCCTCCGTCCTGTATCTCGTCCTCGAGTCAGTTCCTGGCCATCGTAACTAGGTGGTCTTTCTTTTTTTCTCTCTCAACGCTTTCATCAAAGATACGAGTCGAAATAAAAAGATACGATTGGAAATACAGCATTGATCAATAATTAATTAGTTGAAACTAATAATTAGTTAAAATGACGATCGTCGAGTCACGAGCAGTAATTTCAATACGTACTGCACATGCGCCTTGTTAGAAAATTTAATAATTTTACCACTTCTCTCTCTCTTTCTCAGAAGTCCGAAGTATTCGAGAATATTAATTACCGTGTCGGCCGCTCAATGACAGGCGATACCTTTTGCCTACTGTTTTGATACTCGCGCTCATTTTCTGCGATTCAGTTATTGCGTCTCTAACCGACGAGCGAAACGCGTGCCGCAGCGCGTTGTTGTGACCATTTCCATTCGTTGATCGAAATATTGCATGGACTGTTGAAATATTTAACCGGACTCTCGTCGGTATCACGGTTATTTATCGCTTATTTCGAATCGAATTACATTAAATGCTCGTAAATATCCTATGCGACGAGGCAAGTAGGAGCAGAATCGGAAAGCGAGGACGGAGGACGCAGGATATACAGACATCATAGGTTTTCAGGTGTGTCGTGCTATTTATTACGCGATAATGTTTTTGATTTTAACGGCCGTTTGACGAAATCGTCGAAAGTGAGAAAATTTTGAGTCGACATTTTGGGTCTGCTCCGACAATCAGTCGGTCGTTATCTGATAAATAATTATAACTCATGAATCTTCAATTACCCGTCAACCCGTACTCTTATTTCGTACGAGAAATATCCAGTCAATCGAATAACGATAATTAATAACGCTCTTAACGAAGATCATAAATAATTTATAACTACGAATACCGACTTAAAAGATTTCTTTATTTAATAATACTCTGTGGGACACGCGAGCTTCAACCTAGAGATGCCGATTTTAAATCGATTTAATCGAAGATCGATTAATCGGAGCCTAAAAGATCGATTTTCTGGAATTGAATCGATTCAAGGATCGATCTGTAAATTTTGAAAATCGCCAGCACGATTTTTTCAGTTTCTACTAGTAATATATGGAAGGTGCTAAATTTCAAACGTAAGGTAAAAAATAAGTAAGTACGTAAGGTAAATTGTACGTAAGGTAAAAAATCTCGAAAGTTATGAAAGATATTAAAAAAAGCTAAAACATATGTTCCATGATTTCGAAGGGGAAAGAGAATGGCATTATCAGTTTTTTATTTGAAGGACATTTTCAAGGTCAGTTGAATGTCAACTTAATTTTTTTAAATAGAAAGCCCAATTTTTTATTATATCTTTTTTTTACACCAATTAATTTTAACAACTCTTGTCTGAAACATTTTTTTATTTGCCTAATATTTTCTGAAATATTTAAGGAAAATTTTTTCAACATTCAACTTACGATATCTCGCTAACTATTCGTCAAAAGAAAAAATAGTATTAGACTTTTTTACTTTATTTACTATCAAGTTATTACTATAATAGTGCTCTAACTTTTGTTAACTTATTGACCTTTGGAAATTTCAAAATCATCAAATTAACAAAAGTTAGGGCACTATTATAATAATATATTCTTGATAGTAAATAAATTGATACTAAAAAAGTCTAATACTATTTCCTCTTTCGACGAATAGTTAGCGAGATATCGTAAGTTAAATGTTGAAAAAGTTACCAAGTTTTCCTTAAATATTTCAAAAAATATTAGACAAATAAAAAAATGTTTCAGACAAAAGTTAAAATTAATTGGTAGAAAAAGAAGATATAATAAAAAATTGGGCTTTATATTTAAAAAAATTAAGTTGACATTCAACTGACCTTGAAAATGTCCTTCAAATAAAAAACTGATAATGCCATTCTCTTTCCCCTTCGAAATCATGGAACACATGTTTCAACTTTTTTTAATATCTTTCATAGTTTTCGAGATTCTTTACCTGTTACGTTTGAAATTTAGCACTCTATTTTTTTTAATTCCTTTTGTTGTAACATTTGAACTCACTCAATGGCTGCACAATACACATTACGTTACCTTTAAGTCGATGTCCCATGAGCGAAAATTTTCAGCGGAACGGAACGCGCAAACCAATCACAGTTACTCCATTCTTTCTATGAACTGGTACAAGACCAACAACCTCGAAGAAACAATGGTTCTATGTCAAACAATGATGATCTGAAAAACTATTTACTACAGTCTGTATCAGATTTAAAACAATGCAACCCAATATATTATTGAATAGATCATACTAATACAATACTTAGCAGTATCAGCCAATTAGCGCTGAAGTATTTATGTATTGTTGGCACATTTGTGCCTTCTGAACGTCTCTTTGGCGCGCAGTATTTTAACAGAACAAAGAAACAGATTGATTAGTGATAGACTTCACAAATTATTGTTTTTAGAATCATTAGATTTTGAAAATTGGAAGATAGAAGAAATAAATAAATAGGCATATAGTAGTAAACGTGATTTCTTATTTAATAACGTTTAAAAACCCTTGATTGATGTTTAATCAAACCAATTAAATCCTAGAATAAAGATTTAAAGATCTTTTTCTATCTTATTCTGGCCACACACATACACACACACACACACACCACCACCACACACACCACACACCACACCACCACACCACACACCCACACGCACACGCACGCACGCACACGCACACACACAACACAATCAAAAGAGTACCATCTGTTTAATTTTTTAAATTCATATTAAACTTTATATGAATTACACGTCTACTTTAGAGTGTACAAATTTGACAAATAGTATATTTTAATGAGTGGTTCACTCTACATGCACACCGATCAAATCGATATTCTGAAATAAATTCTTTATAAACTGATTTTTAAAGGTCAATTTTTTTCTCCGTGATTCGAATCGATTTTTAAATCAATCTGTTTGAAAAAAATCGGCATCTTCGCTTCAACCTGAATCGGAAGAAATAAATAAATACCTTTTTTCCAGCCTTATTTTTCTTTGCATCAAATCCATATTTAAATGCTCGCTGGTGTTTACGCGCTGTTTTTTTGTCTTTACTTATTTTTGTCTTTACAACTCCGTCTTTTCCAGCTCTTTCAAAAGCTATCTCCACATCCCACCGAAAAATCTCCGACTCATTAAAAAAATAATGAAGGAAGGATCGTGAATGAGGAAAGTGTTTATCGTTTACTTCTCTGTATTATTTATTTAATATTTGCTTATAACACACGTTCTATCTGTGTACAGTTGAGTTACATAATTAATACATTATTTAGTGAAATTAAGAATAAATGTTAAACGCAAAATATCGAAGTAACCCGATATTAAATGATTCTCGAGTAAACGCTTCTTCAAGTCTCAACATCGGGGAAACGGCAGTAAGCTACTATTTGCTGCATCAGGTAGTACAATAGCCCCGGTTATAGTGTTATATCTCAAGATTCTTCATTTTGGTCCTTGAAGTTGAACAGTACTTACAGGGTTAGTAGAACCGAAATTTCGACTCGAGTGTAGCTCCGCTGTAGCGCACGAAACGGTGTCTACCGATACGGCCGTCCGCTCGGCTCGAGTCGGTCGAGTGGCACCGTTTAATTAATCGACCACGATGAAACGGAAAGATGACGAAATCGGTTTATCATCTAATAGCGGGTGTTATTCAAGCGGAAGGGGGAATTGATTCGAGGAGCGATTCTCTCTGTAATTCGACTCGCGTGTAACGGCGATCTCTGTAATTCGAATAAATTAGTGCCCAACGATCAAGCTGAAGTACGGATATA